CTGTGGAGACGGTGGGGAGCTGGGCACCGGGACTCAGTTCCAGCCGGCACTGTGGAGACGGTGGGGAGCTGGGCACCGGGACTCAGTTCCAGCCGGCACTGTGGAGACGGTGGGGAGCAGGCCTCAGAGATGTCTCACTCGCCCAGGGAGTGAGGAGGCAGGGTGTACAGCAGCCATGCCTGCGAGCTGCTCCCTGGGGAGCTGATGCTGGCACATCTGGCCGCTCTGCAGGGACAGCTCCCTAGGGACAGAGAAGGCCTTCGGGGAGAGCGGCAGGGCTTGAGGAGGCCGCCCACGTGGATGGGAACAGTGTGCCTGACATCTGGAGTCCCATCCACCAGTGTGTCCATGGGAGACGTTCCTCTGGGAAGTGGTGGCTGTGAACTGACTATGCCAGGCCTCCCTGGGGTCTCAGAGCAGCATGGGCACCCAACCATCGGACAAGGTGACTGGCACAGTGTGGATCACCTTAGGCTCAGGCCAGCCGGCAGCAAGCAGCCCGCTGAGAGCCCAGGAGAGAATGTGAGCCAGGCAGGCAGCGTTGGCCTCTGCTCTGTCCATCCTGGGGCCCCAGGAGGCACCAGCTGGAGCTGAAGGGCAGGGAGAGCCTCCTGCTGTGGCCGTGCATGGAGGTCTTCAGCCCGATTCCATTAGGCATTTCACCCACTGCCAGTGCCAGGGAGGTGGCAGCAGAGCGATCCCAGGTAGGTGGGGGACGAGGCTCAGTTGACTATAGGCCATGAGTGAAGGCTTCTGCAGAGAAGACAGAGAAGAAAGGACAGTGAGGTGGGCAGGGCCCTGCTGTTAGGGTTGCCGAAGGAGGGATGCATGAGGCCAGTGTGGTGAGGGATTATAAATTTATCAGGTCATCTGGATACCAGATGGGCACCAGCACCCAGGGACAGGGAGTCAGAGGTTTTAAAGGACTCTAGGCAGGCTTTTTCTGGGCGGAGAATTCTCTGGGCAGGTCTGGATCCTGGGAAGGTGGGAGGGGGAAGATAATGGTGTTAGTAGGTGGAATGTGGTCTGAGCGCCTAGAGGTCAGTTCCCAGGGGAGGGGTATCAATTATTTGATCAAAGCTAACACATTCCATCCCAGGGCAGGGGCGCTAGGCACAGGGAGGGAGGGGCTGGGCGAGGAGCCCTGAGCCCGTAGAAGGAAAAGGTAGAAGTCAACAGAGCCCCGCCATAAGTCTCCATGGTGCCCGCTCCTCAGCTGGCTCAGAGCTATTTACAAGGATTTCCTGACTGGTGGTGGGTTGGGGGAGACCCACCATAAGGTAACGGTCCCAGGTCCCAGGAGCTAGGATGGGACCTCTCTGTGGGCCTTCATTCTGCCTCCCGCAGCACTCAGAACACCCATAAGGCAATGGCTCTTCATGGAAAGGGCCACTGGAGGTCCGAAAGGACACAAAGCCAGGCGGTGGTAGGTTCAGGGCTTGGACCCAGGCCGTCTGGTTTCCAAAGCCATGCCCGTGAGCTGCCCGCCACACAGGCACCTGGCCCGGGTGTTAGTGTCTCTGCCACCTGGGCCTGGGAGGCCAGGATGCGGTTGTAGGAAGGAGAGCTCCCTTGGTATCCAGCAGAACAGTTAGGCACCAGGCTCTGACAGGCTCCAGGACTGCCGCCCTCTTCCCCTTTGCACAGGCCTCTAGGCCTGGCGGGGAGGGGGCGCAGCAGCTGGAGGCTGCCCAGGGAAAGTGGCCTGGTGTGGGCAGTGAGGGAGGGTACAGTCGGCGTTGGGGGAGCCCTAAGGGAGGAAGACTCCATCACCTCCCCTCGACTCATCTGGCTGGGGAAGGTCAGTGGGGCAAGTTTGCACCTGATACCCAGGGCGGGGAAGCTTGACAACTCTTGAAAATGAGACAGAAACCCAAGTATGATAATGCGTAAATCAACTAGATGAATTTTAAGTCATAGTCCTATTTGTGCTCTTCAACAGTATAAAAATATTGCAATTTTTCATCAGGTAGAATAAAAATGAGGGAAAGTTAGGTTGTGAGTGCCATCTAGTGGAGAGACCTACCAATTCCAGGCCAGGCCTGCCTCCCGGCCCTGAGGCCCTAACCATTCCTGCCAGGCCTTACCTCTGACTCTGGCCAGGCGCCCACAGTCCCTAAGCCAGTCTGACTCTGGGGCAGGCCCCGGGCAGCAGCTGGGATTCCAGTCACATTCCCACCTGACCTCATCTCTGGCCTGGGCAGTCAGCTGCCTGCTGTGCTTTTGTGATTTACAAGAAGAAATATGTATTTGGTCTCCATTCTGGCTCCTGATGGAGCTCCTGAAAGCCTGGGCATTCCTACCTGATAGAGTGATCAGCTGTCCTTTGTCCTGTGAATGAGGTGACCTTTGGAAGCACTTGAGGATGGAGCTGGTTGCCAGAGGAACCAACCTTGTGGTGAGAGGGTTGGAACTTTCAGTCCCTTGCCTCATAAAGCCCCATAAACATCTGGAGGAAGAGCTGCGGGAGCTCCTGGGTTGGAAAGTCCTGGGGAGAGTGGCCGGCTCAGAGAATCAGATAGTCTGCGGCCCTTCCCACACGCCTTAGCCTACGCCCTCTCCCATCTGGCTGTTCTGAGGTATATCCTCATATAATAAACCCATAGTCTAGAGCAGCCGTGGGCAAACTACGGCCCGTGGGGCGGATCCGGCCCGTTTGAAATGAATAAAACTAAAAAAAAAAAGACCGTACCCTTTTATGTAATGATGTTTACTTTGAAATATTAGTTCTTCACACAAACACTCCATCCATGCTTTAAAAAAAAGACCGTACCCTTTTATGTAATGATGTTTACTTTGAATTTATATTAGTTCACACAAACACTCCATCCATGCTTTTGTTCCGGCCCTCCGGTCCAGTTTAAGAACCCATTGTGGCCCTCGAGTCAAAAAGTTTGCCCACCCCTGGCTTAGACTCTAGAAGGTGAAATATTCCCCGAGTTCTGTGAGCCACTCTAGCAAATGGATCAATCCGAGGGGGTCCTTAGAAGCTGCGGTCAACAGCAAGTTGGTCAGAAGCACAGGTTACAACCTGGACACCAGATTGCAAAGACAGGGGGGGGGGGGGGGGGGGGGGGGGGTAGAACAGTCTTCTGGGACTGAACCCTTAACCTGGGGAATCTGACGCTATCTTCATGTATAGTGACTTTTTAAAAATTTATCTTTATTAACTTATATGCGTATATGCATAGT